AGGGAAAGATGACCTTGACAATTATACTTTCTGTCCCTACTGCTCAAAGCCAAAGTCACCTAGAGCTCATCATTGTCGTTCTTGTAGAAAATGTATACTGGACATGGATCACCACTGCCCGTTTGTAAGTTTTCACTTTCCTTCATCTTTTAATTTTGGAAATATCAAAATCATTGGTGCAATTTTCACTGGAATTTTGGGTTTATCTAGTAATGGATGTAGACCATCCGTACAATTATTTACAATGAGTTGTTAGGTATAAATATTATGTTAAGTTGTATACTTTAGTATGGATCTCAGTTTTATTGTTACCATGTATTCTCATGATTAACTTTTTTTTTTTAAGTTTGTGCATGAGCCTTGTTCTTCAACAATAGAAGTATGCTTTAAAACAGTTTGCAATATATGTTTCAGAGATTAATATTCAAAAGAAATACATGAATCTAATCATTTAGCTGCTAATGCTAGAGCAATTAAGGAGCCCTCCTAGTCAGACTTTTACACTTTATTGTCATGGAGTTATGATGCTTAGTGGGCTTAGAAATTCAACTATAATGCTTGAATGAATGGTAGGGAAATCTCAATTATTCATGTCTAAGCTTTTTTATCTAAATATTCCCTGTTACTTGTTATAGTATCCAAAGAAAAAAATAAACTTGTTTGTCTCTCATGAGGAATTGAGGATTTCTGTTAAACTGGCTGTGTTAAGCGTATACCCACGTATATGCAATCCTTGTTGCCTGTGTTATGCAGCTCTAGTTCTGTTATGCACCTGTAGGTCCTGTACTGCTATACAATTGGTTGGTTTGTGATACAAGCCCATTAGTGAATCAAAGGAGTGTGCCCAAGGTGTGGTGTGTGTATACCAGAAGGGAAATAAGGGTCAAGGGGTGAGCGTTTCTGTTATATAAGGTAGAGAGAGAGAGAGAGGAAAGAGTTTTGTTTGAAAGGATATAACATAACCATGTTAACCAAACTCCTTTTCTTCATTACATCTGTAGTTTGTTGAGACCAAGAACCATTTTCTTCAACTTTGATAAATTTAGGTGACCCAAGTGATTGTGAAGAAGCTGAAAAACAGGACATTGAGGGGCTTGTTTCTTGATATTAGAGGCCACGATATTCATGTCCCATGCTATTGGAGTATAGTTTTACTCTATTATTTTTTTTTCTTTTTTGTACAACAGTAGATCAGGTTCTAGAGTATAGTTTTACCCTGTATTTCTTTCTCATAATGTACACCAATAGTATAGTTTTATTTTCATGTGCAGTAGTAGCTTATCTTGTCGCATCGTTATCATCTCTAACTAATCTGAATTAGTTAGAGTCATTAGTAGCTTGTGTTAGAAGCTAGTACTCTTTTGTTTGTTTGTTTTTTTTTTTAAATAAAAGATAAAAATGCTATTGCATCACTATACAAAAAATAATCCTAACTAGGTTAGTACCACAGTTTGTATCAACCATTTGCAGTTGCAGCATTTCTAAAGTATTATTAAGAAAAGATAAAAGAATACAAGAAAAGTGAAGGGGGGGGGGTGTCATACCAAACCACTTAAGAGCATTTAAAATGTGGCAAGCCACACCTATCACAACTGAAACTATGTATCATATAAATAGGTACATAATTTTACCAATATTACCCATTATTTCTAATACAAAAATTTGCTATACTATCAGCAAATGAATTTCCTTCTCTATATATGTGAGAGAATCGAAATTTGATCTTTCTGATAAACTCCAAAGTATTGTGCCATCTGTTCTTTAAAGTGCAAGGTACCAAAGGGTGATCATAAAAACACTTGATTGCCAGAAGTGAGTCTATATCAAGCTAGAAAGCATTCCATCCTTTAGTAGCTACTATTTTTGGTATGTATAATGGCCAGTATTTTTGCTTCAAAAGCATAATTAACATTCAAAGATTTAGCAAAGCATCCAACTAAATCTACATTATAATCTCTGAATATAGCAGCACAAGAAGAAAGTCCTCCATGCTCTATATATTACTCACTTGATATATAAATAGCTAATTTAAATATGGTATTAGTGGGAAGCTATTCCTCCTCAGACAACTTGTGTTCAAACATTTCAGACTTGGAAGCACTTGCTGTCTTTTCATGAAAGCCATGTAAGGAGTAACATGTTTCTTGAGTATGGCCCATCCTTCGTTCCCTCAACCTCCTCTTCCCTGAATAGACACCATTGATGAAGATTCAGCATGTTTGAGGGATATGTAAGTTTGCAGTGTGTGGCTACTTGCTAAGTAAGGATAGTGTGTTTAGCTTATACAATGATTTTCTAGTGGACGATGAACTTGGAACAATTTCATGAGTTCGAGATAACAAAATGGAGAGTTTTAGCATAGTTTTTCACTAGGATGTTCTTCTCAACTCTTTGTCTTGACTTGTATTTTATAGTCTCTTTGAAGATATTGGTTGAGAGAGGACTTCAAACATTCTCCCCATTCTAACTTTCATGAATGTCTTGCATAATTGTTGACTTTTCTGCCAATGCGGATGGTCGGGTTATGTTGTGGAAGCTTTAATTGAACGAGGTTTCCTTTTCTGACTTGGTATGCACTATGCAGCTTCATTTGCATATGCTTCTTTTGTGTTTTCTCTCTGTTCAGTGCTTTGATTACCGTACTGCTTTTGCTTATAGACTGTACTTATATACCAGAAAAAAATATTTTACATTAAATTCAATATATTTCAAGCAAGTAATCATTTTATAAGAGTATCTTTTAAGTTTCGAATTTATATGAGGATAAATTAAAAGCACTAAACTTAGTTGTTGTAAAAACGTGCGAGCATTAAACTTGCTTTCTTTGAATGCTTACATAAATACTTCAATGTTGGATGTTGGACGTTTGAGTCTTTATAAAAATAGATTTGTTTTTACTTGAGAATATAAAAACAGTTTTGTTGGACGTTCTATTTATTTAGATGTATAAAGTGCATAACATAAGGCGATTCTTTTATATTATTCTCATATATATATATATATATATATATATATATTTACTTATGTTATATGAATAGAGTGCACTGGACGCTCCATATAAGCTTGTAATTATGGCATGTACTCCTTGGAGGCATGGTTCCTGCATTTACTCATCGTTGGTGTTAATTCATCAAAATGCAGAGTTTCTTATCAATTATCATCAAAACTTAAGGGTTTTTGGACATACAAAAATCTCTTTGGTTCAATACTTTTTTCCTTTTTTATGATGTCAAACTTGTATGATTTTGATCAGAGTGTTTATCAATGAAACATGCATCACACAGAGTAAATCATACATAGCTGGAAAATAGTAAAATGCACATGTTCATGTTCTAAGTGTAAAACTCCTCCTGAGTTTAGCAGTCATATACCAGATCAAATAGTTTGTCTGGGACGGATGAAAACACACCTCCATTGAGTGCAGTGGACAAAACTGAAGATCCTACAGATGAAAAACTATCTCTTTGTTTAGAAGGCTATCTTCTTGCACCTTGGTTGTTGCTTGCTCTAGAAGATTATATCTTTGTTTGTCTTCTCGGTTGAAACAACCAGTGTAACTCTGGGTTGTTCATTTGTACTGAGGAAAATCTGATTGAGGGGGAGTGTTGAAAATCGGATTTGAATGTTTTGCATTTATTGTATAGCGATTTTATAAGCAAGTCATATGATTTATAGGAACAAAATCTTTTATGGCTATTTGCATTTATTGTAATAAGCCTATATAAATTAGTTCCGTGGTGTCATTTAAACACATGGTTTCAGCATCGTATGTCTCTGTTTCTTTCAACAATTTCCTATCAACTGTTAGAATTGATGCTTTTATTGGTGGTTATATAGTGATAAAATAGTGTTTCAGACTTTGTCTTAATACTAGTTTGGTCATATAATTATTTGGCAGATTGGGAACTGTGTTGGTGCAGCTAATCACCGCAGCTTCATTGCCTTCCTCATTTCTGCAGTGCTGAGCACAATCTACGTCTCTATCATGTCTGTATATTCAGGCTTGCGTACGTGGCCACCATTGGAGTACTCCCTTGGACGCTTAAATGGGGTTAGTAGCAGTGATCTGGCATGGAGAATTATGAATGAAATTTCTGTTGCATTCCTGAGATCTGCCCTGCTTCTTTCCTCTAGGGGACTCATTCTTGCTTATCTGTTCATTGCAAGTGTTTCGTTGCAGATAGGATTGAGCGTTCTTTTATGGCAGCAGCTCTCCTACATATACCAGGGTAAAACTTATTTGAGTCATTTGAGTTCACAAGCAGATAACGAAGAAGAAAAGAAAGATTGCCAAAATCTTGTTAGATTTTTTGGTCTTCAATATTCTGTAACGAGATTTTTGCCAAACTTTCGTGTTACTCAAAAGAGACACATCAAATGAAACAATCATGTTTTGTAGTCAAGGACTTCTTTGACACCTTGACAATTTGTATCAAAGTATAATTGGAATTTTTTCAGAAAAGATCTTTTCAACGTGTATAAACTTGTGGATTAGCATAAATTGTTGACAAGGAGTGTCAGAAGTGCTAGTCAATAAGCGTTGGCTGTGGATTAGTTTCCAATTTTATTTAGGATTACCCTGAATGCGGTATGGGAGTCTTAGGATCACGTTCATCATTGTGTTTTTGACCAAAATCTACTGGGTAATGCATCGGGCATGCAATTTAAAACCAGGAGCAGAACTAATATGTTAAAGTTTTTTCTGATTTTATTTTTGTACAGTGCTGGTAATAGTGTGCTTCTGTATATGACCTACTCTTGAGTTAATTTTGACTAGCAATGTAATATTGGATGTTAGACTACTGGTTCTTTTTATTTTACCTTATTCTTTTTACGATATATATATATACTTGGTATATATTACTCGTGGTTAAAATTGAGTCCATATCTCACTGTCACAGCGAGTGATATAAGTCAGCATTTAATTAGAATATATTTACAGTTTAAAGACTTTTTTAATATTATAAATTTAAACTTTTTATACTATTATAACTAGAAGAAAAAGAGGCACTTAGTACTTTTCCACTTAAAAATAAAAATAAAAAATAATAAGTGGTTATTTAAAGAGAGAGGTATTTGAAAATTGAATATCGTTGAAATAAAAAAAATAATAAATAAAAAATAATGAGAGAAAAAATGATTTAGAGGTAATATAAAAATAAATTAGTTTAAAATTTGTATACATCAAAAAGGGATATTCTCTTTATTAATAGTATAAATAAATAAATTGTTGCATTTAGTAAAATTGTTAAAGTGATGGTGCATTTCATACAACTTTGACTTCTCATTTCCTTGCCTTTAATATTCGAGTACTTCACATTTCAAGTATTTTACATTTCAGCAATCTACTTTTCATTGTAATTTACATTAATGCATTCTTGCTTCTCAGCTTATTCTTTTACTTTTCATTCAAATAATGCTAAAAAAAATCTCAAATACTTGTTAACTTTTAATTGAAACTTAATTTGAAACGTTAAGATCAATTGAATAATTTGTAATTAATTACTAGCCATCAAGTTGATGATCCATGTGCAAGTGTTTATTCTTGTAGAATTGGGTGATTTAGGCCTGATTCTTAGATACCTTTTAATAATTAGCTTTCGATTAAATAGTCAAACTTATTTATGTCGAAGAAGTATTTAAGATAATTTGAAAGACTAATAGCAGTGTTTAAAAAATCGGACCGAACCGGCTGGTCGGATCGGTTGGACCGGGAACCGGTGGTCCAGCCAGTTCGAACCTTAAGTTGGATCAGTTATGCAGTCGACCCGTTTTAAACCGGATTGAACCGGTCAATTTTCCGGTTCAACCGGTGAACCGGTGGGTCAAACCGGTTCAACCACTTTTTTTTTTATTATTTAATTTTCTTAAGGGATCATAAACCACAAAAATAATAATGAAAATTGAATATTTTAATAGAAGAACAAAGATTCTTATTAAATATAACAATGACTACTTGTTCTAATGTATTTGTTTATATAATATTCAACTTAAATAACTTTTATAGTATATTATTAATTTTATATTATATATTTAATAATATAATATATATGTAAATATTACATATATTATTTTGTGATATCAATTGCAAGCATATTATATATGTACATATTATTTATATTTTTAATTTGTATTAATATACAGTTTAATATGTAATTTTTTATATATTTTTTACAAAATAAAAATAAAAATAATTTTAAATAAGATAGAAAAATTGAAATTTAAAATAAGATATGAATTTATTAAAATTTATAAGTATAAAATATATTTAATATGAATATTTTTTTAATAAAAATAAATAAAAACCGAGTCATGCGGTTCAACTAGTGACCTACTGGTTCAACATTTGACCCACTGACCCAGTACCTTAACCGGTTCGATGACCGGTCCGGTTTTTAAAACTATGACTAATAGTATTAGTGACAAAGTCATACGCATTCTCTTTAAAAATTTAGTCAAAAAACACATTCAACAAAAACAAAATTCAAAAATGTAATTAAAACGTCTTTTAAAATTCATTTCGTTAAGAGGTTCTTTAATGAATTATGTCAATATTCTAATTATTAGAATATTACACTCCTTTGTTTTTTTCTCTTAATTATGTCTAATTGCTTTGTAATTGTACTATAGCAAGTATAATTTAGTGGTAAAAATGCGATCCATTTCTTGGACTCTTTATAGTTAAGGGGTCTCCCATTTGATTGAAAACTTACTAAAGTTGTTGGTTCGGCTAAAAATATGCTCTTAGTAGAAAAATTGGTGAAGAATCCTATGTTTATATATAAATTTGTTGTTGAAGACTTTTTTGAGAAATATCTAGGACCAATTTAGTTAATTCAAAAGTTAAAACCAAAATCTACCATCAACAAATCGGCACATTTGGTAAGACAACTTTGTTGTCAATAATGAATTTTTATAAAAATTAGTAGAGAATTTCTTAGTGTACGAGACTTAGGAGTGGTCCAATTATGTCTAACAGTGATAATTTAGGAAGTTTTGGAGTTCAAAATGGGATTTAGAATAATGATGGAAGACCCCAAGTGAACAGAGAAGTTCATTAATGATTCCTTGGGAGGGGATGATAATAAAAATAGTCTTGTAAATGTGAATAACAATTATGGAGTTTCTTTGTCATTGGCTCAAAGTAGTTCTTTAGTTTCTGATAACGTTCAAGTAATGGCGACTACTCAACCTCTTGTGAGTCCTTTAGTTACCCATTTTATACCTAATCTAGGAGTAATCCTATACTTTGAAAATTATTATCATATGGGTTGTTACCCAATTGAGTGGCATCATATGGACCCAAAATTACATTTGGAATGCTAGGATGGAGACCATATTTTGAAGTGAATCAAAGACTAGGAATGCTTGGATAGAGAACAAATTTAGAATCAATTTAGAATTTAAATTTGCCAAATCATGCTACTCGATTAGTCAGCCTATTAGGAAGACAAGGATCAAATACACATGATGGATGACATGATTTCGATACTCATCGATTGAATATGACGGAGAAAATGATAGACTTTCAATTTCAAGAGATAATAACCTTGAGGAGGATTATCGAATCAAAAGTTAACGATATTAAGTTCTTTTTAAATATTCTCTCTTAAAAAGAAGTTCTTTTAAATATTTTTTATAAAATCATCCTAATTTCATGTCTCATCATCACATCAGTTAACATCATATAAGAAATATTATTCATTAGTTTTTAATGTTTCTCCTTTGTCAAATCCTTCTATACTAGATTTTGAAGAACTTACTATTTTGAGTTTTACTTCGACCCTTAGCTTTAGAAATTATTTCTAGTTAATGTTGACCCTAAAAACATTAATTGAGAGATAAAAATTGTATAATGATAATATTAAGTACTCAAATCACATCAAATAAAACATATTCAGAATATTTGAGAAGTCAAATTAAAGTCATTGTAATATTAGCTTTCAAGAGAGAATGAGTGAATTTTGTTATTTAAGTTTAAGTTTATTTTATATTAATTTTATACATTTTAAGAGTTATATATTTGTCCTTGCCTACAAATATGTCACATTTTTTTTCTTAGACCATTTTTTCATTTATATAAATTCTTCTTTTTATTTTTCGTCTTGTACTTTATTTTATTTTATTTTATTTTCCATTTTTGTTCTCTCTAATGCTTTGATGTGACATTATTGTTTATATGACATTTTATGCTAATGTAACACATGATAATGTGACAATGTGCTAACATAACACAAATAATGTGTCATTCTACTTGTGTGGCATATGATAACTTTTTATTATGATGCCATCTTTTATATACATGAAACATGATAGTGTTATCAAACTAACATTTTTGTAGTAGAAATTGATGGAAAAACTAAAAATAAAACATTTGAATTTGGTAGAGATGATTCTGAAAATAAAATTTAGAGACAAAAAGTAAAAATTACAAAGATAAAAATCATATTTAAGTATTTTAATGTCATACAAATAACTATTTTATAAAGACACCACTTGGAATCATATTCTAGCTTCAATACTATAAATCCAATAAACATATATAGAAAAAGATTAAATATATTTTACTCCACAACTTTTTTTGTCAATTTTCACTTTGTCTCTAAACAATTTTTTTATTAGTTTTAATTCCAAAATTTTCCTTCATAAACAAAGAATCTTGATGATAGAAATCAAAAATGTTAATGGAAGAAAAATTTCAGAAACTAAAAGTGAAAATTCACAAAAATTTGTTGTTATATATGGTAGACGCAAGGATTGGTAACCTACAAGACTAAGGACATATCAGCGGTACACACAAGCTCTGCGCAAGCCCCCAAGGATACTGTTGGTATCAGAAAGAATGAGCGGAATGCGGAAGCACCGGCTGTGGTACCGACAGTGTTTGGACTTGTCAGCACTGTTGGGAGTGTGACCTGGTGGTGGAAGGGTGAGTAGGTTGTTGTTGCTGGCTTCCTCCAGGATGTGGACTCTGGGTGCGTTTAGGGGAGTGTAAAAGTCATATATCCCCCCTCTGTTTGCCCTAGTCGACTTCTTGAACTGGCTGTCGTTATTGACTCTGATTTTATCCTTGTGTCCCTATTCCAGCTTCGCTGGTCCTTTTTCGCGAACCTGGTCACGGAAAGCAGAGTGTTCCTCCATCTGGATGTAGCCCGCCGCGCGAGCGCGAAGCTCGTCCATGTCGCATAGGCTATCGACGAATGGTCCGGGCTTGAGTGCCATAAGCATGGCATGCAGGGCGACCTCGGGGTTCAGATTTCTGATCTTAACCGAGGTGGCGACAAATCGCTCCATGAACGCCCGGAGTGGTTCCTCGTCATTTTGCCTGAGACTGGCCAGGGCGGCTGAAGTGACATGGTGAGGTCGGCTCGTCGCATACTGCACTGTGAACCTTCTGACTAGGGTGCCGAAACTATCAATGGACTCGGCGGGCAGCTGGGTATACCAGTTGAGCGCGGCTCCCTTGAGCGAGGTTGGAAAAACCCTACACAAGATAGCGTCACTGTTAGTGTAGAGGTTTACCTGCGTCGTATACAGGTCAATGTGCTCATCTGGGTCCGTCGTGCCATCATAGCGATCGAGGTGGAGAGGCTTCCACCCATGAGGGAGTGGTGTCTCCATGATGCCATCCACAAAAGGGTGGCGGCGGAAAGTTGCCTGATCCCCTGGGATATGAGTAGGGGCCTTGCTGACTTCATGGGCCGACTTGTGTGT